GGCTCAACGTCGGCAGTAAGCAGAGCCCGCTGCACCTCCAATGCAGTAAGATGAGCAGGCTCCTCCTAGAAGAGCACGTCTAGTCCTAAAACCGTGAGATGGTTGCAGGCCAAAACATGGTCTCTTTACTTAATCCTTTCTCGGTAACGCAATTCACGCGATCTAACCGTAGCTAATACATGGAACTAGGGCAAGGCGCCGTCCCACCAGGTAGTTGTCTAGATGTCCAGCCTTTGAAGCTTTGTCAAGTCATCTGCTCTCATACGTTCAACTTAACCTTTGGCTTTCCGTTGAGGGGTGCAGTCTCCAAATATACTCACATGCGCACTAATAGCGAAAAGAGGTCCAAGTGATGTACACTCAAGGACCTCTGAATTTTGCCTGATTTTGAAAAATACACACAACTGCCCCTATCGGTGGACCCAGCTGACCCATGCGAGATCGACACTGATAGGGGCATGTCGACTCCGCACCTGTCGAGTCAGCTTTTTTTAACAAGGTATTGGGGCAAGATCTACCCAGTGAATCTGCAGAAAACGAAGGAAACCAAAAATTGCAGCACGCCAGGAAGAATAAAGGAGATTACCCTGTGGGACTACCATTAGGTTCCCTTAGATGTGTCCAGGGGTCACATTTGTGTCATCTTCTACTTCATTTAGCTTCCATTATGAGAAGGAGCACTCATTTAGTCGGACACGAAAGATGTGACGAAGCACAAATTAGTGAACGTTAAGTCAGCGGTGGACAAATAATAACCTGAGAAAAAGGTCCGACCCGCATCGAACGTATAGCAGAATATTGCTTTCGTCGGTCTCAGAAATTGACCCTACGGGGAGCATGAAAGCAATATTATATCTGGACCTCAAATATTCGCGCATATTTAAGTATAGCAGAATATACTCCGGTAAAGTCGAATTTGAGTAACCTCACTATTAAGACCAAACGCGCCAGTTAAGAGAAAGAACAACTTAGTTACTGAAGAAAGGAAAATTTAATAAAGACAAGTTAATAAGAGCTTTTCAGGTAGATTGTATGTACAACGCGTAAGCCGGCATGCATACTTCGTGTCTTAATCACAACTCAGTCTCGCTTGCTCTTGGAGTGGTGGGAATGTTTCGACTTTGATTTCTTATGCTTCTTGTGCTCTTTTTCGCTCTTGTGTGCTTTGCGGGCCTTCTTTTTTGGCTTAGATTCTCCATCTGAATCGGAACCGGACTCGTCAGACGACTTGATATTTCTGGCAAAACCAAAAACAATTACGTGAGAATCATTTTAATTGCCTTACACTGTGACTTTTAAGGAATAAGGTGCGTATGACAAAAACGATGGCTGCACAACGTTCATGAGAAAGATAAGAGGCTGGTCACAAGGTCGCG